TGGTAGTATTTTTACACTGTGATGTCAATAAGTGTGATCTGTATAAGGTTTTTATTTGAGTTTGAGTGAAAGAGCAAAAATCACTGACAGTTTTGAGTTGAATGGCAATGACAAAGTTTGCAAAGAAGTTTGTTACAGAATTATCACAATTTTGCCTACATGGTCTGCATAACACTTCTCATAGAACAAACATACATGTTCATGGAGAGACTGTAGTGTTGAAGAATCCCAGTAAGTGCATGATTTGATGACAGAGAAACAAACTGCATATATGGACATAATAAAATGCTTATTTATTGCTGACTGAGTATCATTTGTTAATTCACTGCACATTGAAATGGAGGCATTTGATTGTAAGGCAGTGGTTGATACATAGTGGCATTCATCAATATGACCTATAGTAAGGGACTGTGCAATAATTATCTGGAGGGGGGGTTCTAAAATTAGCAAAGTAGGCCTTAAAATAAAGTTGCACCCCCCTGAATTAAAGTTAAAATAACTTCTTGTCCACCCCCGTCTAGAGGGGAGATTACTTTCAACCCCCTCTTCCCAACCTCCGATCCTCCCTACATCCCTCTTTACCTTTACACTACTTCTGGTATGTCTGCATCATCAATAAATAAAACTTGGAAGCTGCGCTCCACATAATCGTCGCCTGATGAACCACCTTCATACTCGGTTGACTCCTCCTCAGAATCACTTGAGGTATCATCATGAGAACTGGAGGGCATGTTTTCATCATCATCTTCGATGTTTTCATCAAATGTTCTTGCTACAGAACCATCTGAATGCTTAAGTATTCGCTCAACTAATTGTGCCTTGTTTCCAGATACCATTAGACCTTCTTGCCTTAGATAGAGCCGGAGTTGCTTGTTAGTCAGTCTTTCAGCATCGTCTCTGCTCTCCCAACAAATATCTTCTGGAATGGTGTTTCCTTCCAGATTTCTTTTGCCTGCTTTTAGAGCCAAGAATTCAAGGTACTGAAGATATCTTCTGCAAGAACTTTCGTCGATGTTAAGCTTTAAGCATGCTTGCCGTATGGCCTGGTTATTAGAAGAGGTCACTTTCTTTTCAACAAACATCTTCTTCACTTGTACACTAGGAAGGACACTGTCAACCTCGCTTGGAGCCAAACGAGGTTCATCAACTGGGAGATACTTTCTTGGCGAGGACGGATCAAAGGCTAGCAATGGAGATGGTGTAATGGGAATGCCACCTGTCCAACCTTCTTCCTCGCATTCATCGCGATTTGCCCGCCGGAAAACTGTCGCCTGCGATGCCCGACACAATCTGCTATCAAAGGCAGTTCTGCCAACTAATATTAAGATCTATGTCCTTCAAAAATGATCTAATGTATAAGTGGAAGGCTCTACTTGGTTACTTTTCTTAAAAACCACCCTACCGATAAGTTTTCTAAACTCTTTCTTTATGTCTCTTTTAAAAAAAGCATAGAAAAATGGGGTATTGGCCAAGTTTAAAAGCAATACAGGAATTTTGTGTAGTTGGTCTTATGATGCATTTGTGTCGGATAGTACTACAAGACTACAACGTAAATATATTCCGTAGTACACAAGAAACACTCCAATTACAAGACCCATCATTATTACTGCAGACTTCTCGTGATGAGTTTTAAAAGATAGCCGATGGTTAAAACGTCACTGTTTTCCTAGGGTGCGTGCTGACAGATCATGTTTCCATACATGATGTAACCATAATGTATCAGTCAAATCGAAGCTTCAACATCCTCCCCCCGGGCAATCCCCGGGGAGGAGGGAATTTGATTATCAGAGTCTTCCAGGGGGTGGGGAATTTGATCCCCATGCGTTAGGGGTGGGGAATTTGAACTGCACCCTCGATTTCATGTGAAATCTCTGGCGTTGCGAGCTATCATGGGGAAAGCGGTGTCGGGAGGATTTTCGTGGAAAAGATTGTGCCTAATCTTTTCCACGAAGAAAAGCTGAGCATTCAGTGACCTTGTAGCAGCGATTTCCGCCATTTTGCACGAGAATTTTGTTTGTACTAAATACGCTAACGGTGTTTCTCAGTTCTTGTTATATTAAATTCCAATTATTTGCTGTATTTATAAAGATTTTGTTCGACAACTGAAGGCATTTCTGCTGTCCTTCTGTTATTTATGTGCCTGTGAAATGTCCCCGGAGTGGGGCCATTTGATCACCTGAATGGACCCTTGTGTGGCGCATTTGAACGGCATTTAACAATAATTTTCAAAAAAGTTAAATGCCCCGGGGGGTTTGCCCGGGGGGCGGGGGGGTGTTGAGACTTCGATTGGACCGATACATAACAAGCTAGAGAGCCCATTTTGATGCGAAAGCGCCGTTTAACGGGGCATTCATAGAATATTTGTGGTCATTAAAATTAAGTAGCCTGTCAATTCCTATTGTTTTTGGCAAGGCTCAAGTTTACACATCCTCGGAGACCCAGAGGCAGTCAGTCGGGTCGGGTGAAAAGGCGGGACGACAGTTTTCAAGTACGGGCAAAAGAGCCGGTAGTTCTTTCGTTTGTGGTTAGGAAAGTAGAAAAAAAGTTTCCCTTGCAAGCACAAGCTTGGTGAAAGAACCGGACAAATAGCCGTCGTGTACGAACTCACGAAAAGAACTCAGAAGAAACTGTTGATCGATTTGGCACAATAATACAAAGCATTTTTTGTGCCCAATCAGGAGACGGCATCCGCTTGAATTTTTGGAAATAGTTCGGTGAGAATTGAATAGGTACCCAGGGGCTCTTTTGCCCGTAATTAAAAACTTCGTCCCGCCTTTACTCCCAACCCGACTGACTGCCCCTGGGTCTCCGAAGATGTACTAAATTTGCCTGAATAAGTTTCCGCCATTGTCATTAACCAATGAGAAGCGAGAAAATAAAATTACACATCAATTAAACAAGACATATATGAGCCCGCTGCATGTAATCTGCCTAGTAGTCTGTTTCGCTTGAAAAGCTGAGGAAGAAATGGCTTTCGAAGTCATGAAAAATGAAAATGCTTTGTCTGCATTATTGTACGTTACCATGCGTATAATGCATTCGTTCTAGGTCTTTCAATTTTCAGTCAAAAGTGTTGTCGCAGACTATGCTCACCTGATAGCCTGCGTAGCAAGCGTTTCCGTACGGTTTCGGAACAAAGAACGAGCAACGAGAATCCCGTTCCTCGGTCTCTATTTGCTCCCAAACAAACGGAAACGCTTGCTACGTAGGCTACTCACCTAACATTAATGGGCAAACTCTTTATGTGTTTAACAATAAAGAGTTTAGTATAAAATATTTCATGTAAACGAAAATAGGTAAAAAAAAAAAAAAAAAGCTCCAACTACTGAACAGAGCATGCAAAGGTATTAATGAATAAAGCAAGGAAAAAATAAAATGATCACGATGTGAAATAGAAATGTTCCAACAAAAGACTCTTTCTTCAGGAGACGAGACGAAATTTCTCGAAGAAATTTCGTCTCGTCTCCGGACCGTTGTAAACCTTTAGCTTGATTCTCACAGTCCGGTTATTATTCGTTATTCTAAGACAATTTACATAAAGACCTTTCATTCGTGAAAAGTCAATGATGTTGGTGGAAGCATTTAATTGGCGCTCTGTCTATAAAAACACAATGTCGATAAGTTTTTAAAGGCAGTTGTCATCAACTGTGAAAAAAAAAACACCCTGCAAAAAACGTTTTGTCTTAAGAAACCATTATATTTATTTATAAAACCTTGTTATTTTATAATCCTTTCAATATTACATTGCGCAAGACGCCTGGAGTGTCATGTCGATATGTACGATCTTTAACATTTGTTATCAATAGCTTATCAATCAATTAACAATATTGTTTAGTTGAATCAGTTAAATGACTTCTTTTGCATTTTTATTTCGTATCGCTAAATTTGGAAGGTTTTGTGGTGCATTCAGCATGCAACGTTTTTAATATCGTTCCGGCTACGAGCAACTCGTCTTCCCATTCGCGGTTGGGCTTCCTGACCAACCAACCATGCATCATTACCTTAATTTCTTAGTCACGATCATTTCTACAGAATTTAGAGGAAAATTAGCCTTACGTTCGTGTAACCATGGCAATAAAGGTGATAAGTTTGCCGGATAGCTACCTTTTTCCATAATAAGTCATTTTACACTTTAGACGATTTTTATCATTTCAGTCACACCTGCAGGTGACTGAGTTGAAATAAATTTGCACGGAAAGATTACAAAACTACCAGTTGACTACAATCTTCGTGTTTTTCTCACAAGGAAATAAACTCATATAACGAGAAAATCGTACAGTTCGGTTGAGTAAATTCTAGCAATGTATCGCCGTTAACAGAGTTGATTACGACGGCTTATATTGAAGGAACGGCCAAATTGGCGCCAAGCGTTTGAAGTCACGAACGTCGTACTTCTGAACTTGACAATCTTGTTTTCTCTAGTCAAACTGGTATTCAGAGTGTGAGCATACGTTTCAGATTGATAAACCGATGGTCAGACTGTACAAAGCGAACGGCTATTAAGCCTGGGTTCAAAACTGTATCCAAGAACCACATGCTCAACAAAGACCTTACTCGATTGATGCAAAGTCTTGCTCGAGTACGCTAAAATCGCGCAAGTGAAGCAAAGCGGGCTTTGCTAGCAGGGTGTCAACATAAAATTATACTTTATGTCATGATTTGAAACTAAAAATTCCATCCACAAGAATTGACTTGCGCCTTACATTACAGTGAACCTTGATCTTGTATTTTGTATTCTCATAGGGTTCAAAGGTTCTTGTTTTCTCTCCTAATGATAAGTCCAAGCCTCACACATTTATCAGTCTTATACTGAATAGCTCAAGCCTTTGACACACGTGCAAAAAAAGACTCACATCCTACAAGAATGAGTGACGCACGTAAAGCGGTAGGCTTTAGTTAACATTGTTATTTTCTTTAAAACACAGCGCCGACAAGTGTTTGAAACTCTTTCTTTATGCCTCTTTTGAAAAAGGCATAAGCCAGCGGGTTAATGGCCGAGTTTAAAACCAAGAAAAGAATTTTGTGTTTTCATCATTACATCGTGATGAGGATAGTATTAGAAAACTACAACGTAGATACATACCATAGCAAACAAGAAACACTCCTATCACAAGACCCATCATTATTACTGCAGACTTCTCGTAGTGGGTTTTAAACGACACCTGCACTGTAATTTTCAGGGAGTTATAATAACTCCTCTAGTGGGGCTAATTTAACTCCTTACAGTGGAGTTATTTTTCGTGGAGTTATTTTAACTCCAAAAAGGAGTTTAAAGAACTCTTTTTCAGGAGTAAAAGTGACCACAGATTTTGAGGAGTTAAAATAACCCCAAAAAAGGAGTTATCCTGTACCTAAAATTTTTACTCCACTTTCAGAGTTAAATTAACTCCAAAAAGAGTGAAAACAACCCCTGTAAGGAGTACAAGTAACCCCATTTCGGAGTAATTTTAACTCCAAGACTGGGAGTAAAAAGAACTCTTTTTCAGGAGTAAAAATGACCCCAAATTCGGAGTTAAATTAGGAGTTAAAATAACCCCAAAAAAGGGGTTATCCTGTACCTAAAATTTTTACTCCATTTTTGGAGTTATAACTCCCTAAAAATTACGGTGTGATGGTTAAAACGTAACTGTTTTTCTACGATGCGTGCTGACCGATCATGCCTGCGTACGTGAAATATCATTGATACAAAGCAGAGTATTAATACAACAGCTGGAAGGAACTCGAAGCAAATTAGATTTAGCCATATAAACAGGACATCCATTGTTTTGAAATAAAACACATAATAGATAACTTTTAGCGCATTAAAACTAACTGTTAGAACCCAAGAGAAGAAAATAACTTGAGTAATTCGACGGCGAGTCATCAAAGTGATGTATTTTAGAGGATGGACGATGGCAATAAAACGATCCAGTACTAAGCTGCATAAGTTTACAACAGACGTGTTACTAAGCAGCAACCGTACGAAAGTCACCCAAGACATCAAACCGAGAGGCCAGTGGCAGGTGTTTGTAATGTCGCACAAGAACATTGAAGGAATAACGCCCAAACCAACACAGAAATCCGCCACGGCAAGTGAAACAATAAACGCGTTTGTTTTGGTGCGGAGATTTCGTCTGCTGCAAACGAGAAAGATTGTAAATCCATTTCCAATGATGGTTAAAAATGAAAGAAACCAGCCAAAAATCCAAAACCAGGTCTCCATCTTAGAAGTTAAAGGAAGTTTTGATCAACTGTAGAATATAACCAACATCTTGCTTAAATATTAGGGTCACGTCACGGAGCGTTTTCACATGACGTCATGGCGGCCATAACGGTGTTTCAAAAAAATAGAAACGGCGTCCATGGTGGTATTCCAACCAACCCTGTGAGAGTTGAACTCTTGTCTAACTAAAACGTTCTCTTTTGTTCCAATAAATTTGCACAGTTGCTGGCCACTTGGGTGAAAAGTAACGCACTCTTTGTTCTTTTAATCGTCTTAAGTATATATGTAATAATTGGCCAATTAATCTTTTCGGTGGAAATGTGCCGCTGAGACCCTGGAAAACCTAGCCTATACTCCTGGTTCAGCTGAATTTTGCTGCACTATACTAAACTAAACTCCCCAAATCCCTCCATATACAAGAGTTGTTCTCTGATTTCTATACCCAATCCCAGACTTAACTGCATGCTTGAAAACCGTACCCCATAAAACGTCACATTATATATCCCACCTGGCAGTACCCCCCGCGGGGGTTAGGTTGTTCACCGAGTTCCTTTATCACAAATTTCAAAGAATCCATAGAAAAAATATTTTCGCTCGTTTGAGTGGGGCGAATACGAGTATGACAAATTTTGATAGCTGTAATAAAAAATGCATTTTTCGTTTCTCCTTCAACTAAAAGCCTGCTAGTTATTTTATAGTTTAGACTTTTGACGATTTTATGTTGATTCTCTCCAGCTCTTGAACAATAAAGAGGACAACTGTTTGCGATAATTTACACAATTACACAAACAATTTAACAAAATAGCGGAAAATGTCTGGCACGTTTTGCGAAGAAAATGCAATAGCCAGTACTAATTACTGCCCAAGACTATAAAACACCACGGATGACAATTTAACAATTAGTTCATGCGTCAGCGTGCGTATGTAGAGATATTGAGCACGCAGGAAGTTTGGAGAGCTCGTAAGACGTGTAAGAGTTGCTCGAGGCGCAGCAAACTTTCCAAGTGCTCAATATATATATATATCGACATACGCACAGCTGAATCATGAACTAATTGTTTTATAACATTATCAAAGCTATCAATGCAGCAGTTACCTTAAATTTTCATTATCATAGCGTGCGCTCGAAGCAGTACGCGTAAATGTCTACGTGACTATGTTTTTTTACCTCGCAGTTATGTTTTTGTCTTGAAACTGAGAGAAAGTTTAATCAAGTCGCTTAAGATTTCGGTCAAATACTGAGGAGCCGGAAGACTAGTGTTAATTCACCAAAAAATTATTTTTGAAAGAAACAGCTTTGCAAAGAATGATTTTGTTTTCTCTTGTCAAACTGGTATTCAGACTTCGAGTGTCCGTTTCAGATTGATAAACCGATGGTCATAACCGATCGATGAGCCCTCTGTTTAAAGTGCACGGCTTTTAAGCCTTGGTTCGAAACTGTATCTAAGCAGCACATGCTTTCGCTATCTTTGTTACTCGATTGATGCAGAGTCTTCCTCGAGTATGCCAAAATCAAGCAAGTGAAGCAAAGGCTTTGCTAGCAGGGTGTGATTACAAAATTATGTGAATCTCGTAAAAAGATCCATCCAACAAGAACTTGTGTCTCGCATCACTGTGAACCTTGATCCTAAGTCCTTTCCCTTGTATTTTGTATTCTGTTAGGGCCCAAAGAAATTGTTTTCTCTCCAATGCGCCATTTTTTCCAAATTTCAATTCGCTTTGAGTCCAAGCGTCACAGATTTATCAGTCGTAGCTGAAACCTTTCACACTCGTTCATATAAGACCTACATTCTACAAGAATGAGTTACGCACTTCAAGTAGTAGGCTTAAGTTAACTTTGTTATTTTCCTTAAAACACAGCGCCGACGAGTCTTTTTAACTCTTTCTTGATGTCTCTTTTGAAAAAGGCATAAGCCAGCGGGTTAATTGCTGAGTTTAAAGCCAAGAAAGGAATTTTGTAGTTTTTATCATTACATCGTGATGAGGATAGTATTTGAAAACCACAACGTAGATACATACCATAGCAAACAAGAAAAACTCCTATTACAATACCCATCATAATTAATGCAGACTTCTCGTGATGGGTTTTCAACGACATCTGATGGTTAAAACGTAACTGTTTTGCTAAGGTGCGTGCTGACTGATCATGTCTACATACATGAAATATCATTGATACAAAGCAGAGTATTAACAGAATACATAGAAGAAAAGTGGAAGTTATGTTCAGGCAAACAAAAAGAAAGGGATTGTTTTGAAATAAGACAATACAAAGGGTATCTTGTAGCGCATTATAACTAGCTGTTAGAATCCAAGAGAAGAACATAGCTTGAGTAATTCGACGGCGACTCGAGTCATCAAAGTAATGTATTTTAGAGGATAGACGATGGCAATAAAACGATCCAGTACTAAGCCGCAAAAGTTCAAAGCAGACGTGTAACTAAACAACAACCTTTTAATATTCACCCACGAGAACCAATAATCAGGCCAGTGGCAGGTGTTTGTAATGTCGCAAAAGAACAGTGAAGGAAAAACGCTCAAACCAACTCAGAAATCCGCTACTGCGAGTGAAACAATAAATGCGTTGGTTTTTGGTGCGGAGATTTCGTCTGCTGCAAACGAGGAAGATTGTAAATCCATTTCCAGTGATGGTCAGGAATGAAAGAACCGAGCCAAGAATCCAAAACCAGGTCTCCATTCTTAACAGTTATAGGAAGTTCTTATCATCTGTAGAATACAACCAACATCTTGCAAATATAACAGGGATACATGTCAACTGGTTACTATGGGGCGTTTTTACATGACGTCACGGTGGCCATAACGGTGTTTCAAAAAAATGAAACGGCGGCCATGTTGGTATTCCAACCAACCCTGTGAGAGTTGAACTTTTGTCTAACGAAAACGCTCTCTTTTGTTCCAATAAATTTGCATAGTTGCTGGCCACGTGAGTGAAAACACTCTATTTGTTCTTTTGATTGTCTTTATATGTAATAATTTGCCAAGTAATCTCATAATAATTCGTCTTGGGCTTTGTGTTAAATACTATCCTCATAACGTTTCTTCGTATGTTTGATAATAAAATAGGTACAAAATTTGTTACTGAATTCTAGGAATATAATAAACAATGATTGGATGAGGTTTTTGTGATATCCAGAATAATCAAGGTCGGGGTAGGGGTTTTCAGGTTCTCTTAGTTTTTTCTCTTTCACGTAATCAGCAAACAGCTTTGCCACCTTCGTCGACCTTTTTATGTTTGTGAGTCCTTGTGTTCAACTATTTTTTCGATGTCTTGCTCGGTCAACGAAGCAAACCTGGAAGTTGTGTTTTTGCTTCTTCACTGACGGAAAGCAACAAAAAGCGCGCGAACTTGACATGATTACCCTTAGAAATCATGTGCCGCGGTCATGCAAGACATGATTACCCGTGACCTTGAGTGTCCTTGACATGAGTATTGTATAATCTGCAGCTAGATGACGTCCCAGGCGCTGATTTTGAAAATTCACTGTACGCTTTCGACCAATCAGAAAAGAGATAGTAAGTTGAATGTATAATAATACATCTAATACATTGTTTAAGGTAAAGTGTTTTTTTTCGCTTAATTTCGAAGATTTTATTATGTAGCGTTTTTTAATGTGCCGTTCCAGCGGTGGACATCTCGTCTTCTCTTTTAAGGTTTCCACCCTAGTGGGGGGCTGGGGGGTCTTGAGAAATTTTTCTAGTGGTAAAGTGCTGCTGACACCCTGGAAAACCTTTAGAGCCTATACTCCTGGTTCAGCTGAATTTTGCTACACTATACTAAACTAAACTCCCCAAATCCCTCCCTATACAACAGTTGCTCTCTGATTTCTATACCCAATCCTAGACTTAACTGCATGCTTGAAAACCATACCCTATAAAACGCCGCATTATATATACCATCTGGCAGTACCCTAGATAGATTTAACTGCATGCTTGAAAACCATACCCTATAAAACGTCACATTATATATACCATCTGGCAGTACCCTCCCCCCCTCGCAGTACCCTCCCCCCTCTCGCTTCTTTTGAGTGGGGCAAATACGTGTATGACAATTTTTTTTAGCTGTAATAATATATAGATTTAGCCAGGGCTAAAAGCGAAGCTCCCGTTAATAAGTTCATAATTTAAATCAAACAATAAACTTGTAATCCACAGATCAGGGCACATTCATTTGACTTTTGAGGCAAAGGCTAAGTGATTTTAGAGAAAAATAATTTGACAGTCCAAGAGTGAAACAAATTTTACATCGAATTATTAAATAGTCTTATTAGTACACCCAAAAACAGCAATCATGTTCGACCACATTAAATTAGGCCTCGAAAACAAATAGACCTATTCGTGTATTGTATTTGCATTAGCTGTTGCATCATAATGTGGCATTCACCAGTCTCTCCAACATTGCTCCGTTAGAGAGTATGGATAATTGGACAATCCCGAAATATAGTTTTAAGAAACACACATGCCACGATAGTCCTTGGTGGCAGCCAATTTACCCGTTGCATTCCTCTGTCTAAACGAGAGGCCAAAATAAAAAATCAGGCCGGATTTTTTGTGATCGACAAGTTCAGTTTACTAGTAAATCTTGGCGACGAATCTGGTGGCGTGTAAACCAGCCTTTTAAACATACTTTTTCTCATCACGTCTCAGGTAAACAGTACTCTGAGGCCCTTTTTTATCATACAGACCTCGGACAGAATTTGTTCTTTTTTGCCCTATTTAAACCTGTAATTCTGCAGTTTTTCACAATTTTGCAAGAGAATTTGCACTCATTCAATATCCACGACGATCAAAGCACGCGCTTCCTTTGCACAACAAATTATAGCACTGAATTATAAAACGTTGTCATGAAGAGAATTCTCAGATAATGCCGGAACTTTTCAGTTAGAAAAATCTGGTCCTATGTGATATGCAGGGTAATAATTACGGGCTTTTAATGAAAACGATAAAAGAATTCCCAAATCATCTTTTCGGCCAGCCGGACGGGTTCTCACTTTTGACAGGCAACAAATTTGCAGTGCGACTAATAGAGTTAACATTTACGCTTCAACATGATAGAGAAATTGTTATGTTTAGGTTTTATTTCCCTTTATTTATTAAACTGTGTATGGTTTTGTTTTGTGTAATCTTTAAAAGCGAGTGACATTTACGCGCGGCGTTTTGAGTATTCCTGCATGCGACGTTTATGTTCGACTGGAAACAACCGGTGCAACGATAAAAATTGCGAGAGGGACTACTAACAATCAATAAAATAAATATAATTCGGTTAAACATGTACAGAGACAATAATTTTCATTCAAGAAGAGAAGTATTGACAGTAAAGTGTCTCTGAAAATCCTGAGTCACGAAAGCATAAGCTTATTTATGTTTTAAGCCGGCTCCCGGTGCTTGCTCTTTTTCAAGATGAACTCGAGGCAAGAAAATCGCTCAGAGCTTTCTGTTTACAGCCAAAATCATAACTAAATAATCTTCTGAACCTTTTCTTTGAATCTGCGGTCAAAAAATGTCTAAAGGCTTTTTAAACCTGATACTACTGTAAGTTAGATCATTGCTCGAGTATTAACTTAAGCCGTACGCTCGACTTCAGGAAACCGAAAAAAAAAAAAACACATCAAAGACAATAATTGCTCAGGCTTACCAGTGGAGATGCTGCTTCTGAAGGTCATCAAGTGTTCCAGAATCGCTTGAGACTTTTCAACCCTCTTAAGCCTCAAGCAAGGGCAAGTGAGTAAGCTCATTTTTGAAAACGATGCCATCCGAAATCGGATTTCCAATGACTCTGACAAGCGGTGCATTTGTCAACAAAAAGCACAATAAACAAACCAGTCATGAATTACAGAACAATCTTGATAGCAGCTGTATTTCATTTTGTACACCAAGTAGAAAAAGACAGTTTAAAACATCACAAGATGACACAAAGCTCCCGGACAAAACTCTGTCACCTCCAGCTATCAGTAAGCAAGTTTCCAGGCGCTGCATAAATTTTCCGCATGAACTCACCTGTCAAATTTTGACCAATCAGAACATAAGACTTGGACGTAGAGCGTCATCAACGCGTGACAGTGAGAAAAGTCAAAAGCGATTGCCTTCCCTGCATGTAAATGTAAAAGCCGGTTGAATTTTCGCGTCCGAGGTCAGTTCGAAATCAACATTTTAAAAGTGCTGCTCATGAACACGACTTATTTCATATGCATTTTTAAAAAAACTTGAGCCTGCGATCATTTGAAAAGTATCAACTTGTCAGCGCAAACCTTCAAAAAAACACTCGAACTCAGTGGGTCGATACCTGAGCCCGCGATACGGTCAGGCGATACTGGTCAGCAGAAACACTATTTTGACAGCTGTCACTTAATCAAAACATGGATGTACAATATCAGGTTGCAGGCTCCCAAACTAGCTAGAGAGTGTGATATTAAACATTGGTATGCCTCTGGTGCGAACGGACGGAAGGTTGGGTGGTCGGTGTACGGTCACGTGATTGCCGAATTTTCTGGGATGAATAGATTTTCTAAACTATGGGGCTTCGAATTGAGCCCGTGATCGAATTAAAATATCAGCGCAAAACTTTAAACACTACGTGACCTCAATGGATAGAAAAATGGGCCCGCGATACACTCAGGTGATGATAGTCAGCGTATACTCTAGTTTGACAGCTGTCAATTAACCTTCATTAGAATGGCGAATATTCGAATTAACAGACAACGAGTGTGAGTAAGACATATCCGTCCGGCATGTAGTGGAAAATGCCAGATCGTGTACCTGAGCGAACCTGAGCCCACGTTATTAGTTTTCTGATAGTGGACTGCACATGTCCCATTTTGACAGCTGTCAATTGACCTTAATTTGGCTTGCCAATATAACTTTAAACGACTGTCAGCCAACTGACAGCCTTGCCCGGCGTAGTTTCGTTTTTATGTTTGAATTGGTAAGTGTGACATATTAAATCAGCTTATATGGAAGGGCAAAACGACTGATCTTTCATCTGCGCCCGCGAGATGGCCATGTGATAATTGTCAGCGGATGTCTGATTTTGACAGCTGTCAATCTAATCGTACTCATACGGATGGTTTACATAACTAAGAGGCTAGTCAAGTTGTGCAAGATCTATTGTGACAATTGACATCGGCTTACATGAAGTGTGTTTACGGGTGGGAGTACGCTACGTCATAACCAAATTTTCTCGGATGGATAGTTTACCAAATTTTCTTACCCATGGTGCTCCGCTGCGCGCGCGCTTCGCGCGCGCTACAGCTGCGCTAAAAAAGTGCATTTTTCCTTTCTCCTTGATAACTAAAAGCCTGCTAGTTATTTTATAGCTCAGACTTTTGACGATTTTATGTTGATTCTTTCCAGCTCTTGACCAATAAAGAGGACAACTGTTTGCGCATTAGATAATTTACACAATTAAACAAATAATTAAAAAAATGGCGGAAACTTTCTGGCACGTTTTGCGAAGAAACTGAAATAGCCAGTACTAATTACTGCCCAAGATATAAAACACCACGGATGACAATTTAACAATTAGTTCATGCGTTAGCGTGCGTATGTAGAGATATTGAGCAAGCAGGAAGTTTGCACAGCACGTAAGAGGTGTAAGAGTGGCTCGAGGTGCAGCAAACTTCCCAAGAGCTCAATATATCTCGACATACGCACAGCTGCTGAATCATGAACTGATTGTTTTATATCATTATCAAAGTTATCAATGCAGCAGTTATCTTAAATTTTCATTATTATAGCGTGCGCTCAAAGCAGTACACCTCAATGTCTACGTGACTATGTTTTTTTACCTCACAGTTATGTTTTTGTTTTGAAAGTTTAATCAAGTCGCTTAAGATTACGGTCAAAAGAATGATGTTTACACGTCATAGCCCGCACAGCTCGCGCAGATGACAACAACAACACTCACCTCTTTTCCCCACTATCGATTAGCAAATTCAAAAGTTTTCTCTTAAATTTACGTTATAACACACATGGTTAACGCTTCATCGTGTACTGTTGAGTTATGGATGCACTTGGGAGACGTCTTGAGAGGATTGCTAAGCTCACAAGAACTATATACCTTGGCAAGGTATATAGTTTACTGAGTAAGACGTCGCCAGCGTGCTCAATGGGAATATGAAGCACGCTCCCGCTATAGAATTTGAATAGGCGAATATTCTAGCTATGTTATAAATAGTGCTCCTATCGAGCACGCTGATGAAAAAAATAGCTAGTGTATTCCTATGATGTAGTAAAGTACCAACTGGAGCATTATAAGAAACGAAAGGGAAGTATTATTAATGCAGGGGCTATTATAAATGGCCATGAATATAAAACCAAAAGTGGACCACAGCGGCTGTAAAATTTTGTTTGTCGAACATAAGAAAGTGTTACGTAACATTATTTCAATATACAAAAGAAAAAGACCTAATTTGTTTCCACTTCCAACACACTATTAAATTTATATGCCGATTCACAAAACTAGTTTCGTCTAACGACCTCTTCAGTTTACCGCCACAGTATCCAGTAGGTAACAATGCATGAAAAATAAACCCCAGAAATAAGGCTACTGGGTTAATTACAACAGTCTTAGTGGGATGCGGACGTAATTCCATTCACTTTTTTTTTTAATTTTTTTTTTTTCACTTATAACCAGAGGGCGTTTCGTTCACTACCGGTATCGTTTACGTTTTATTTAAATCACTCGCAAAACTTTGTAGAAAAGAGAACCCTGAGGGTAGAATAAACTGATGAAATATCGTCACGCGAAGAAATTGAGCCTCGGACTCCTCTTTGTTGCACTGCCT